AAAATTATTTACTTATTTATTTATATTTTACAAAACCAATTAAAATGTTTAATATTTTTTTTATTATTATTATTATATTTTTTCCTCATCCAGAGGCTTCAAGAAATTTTGCCTCATATCTAATATAATTTGAAAGTAATTGATTTTGTGAAAAAAGCTTTTTAAAGTATATGTATTATTTTTTTTAGTGATTCATTTTCTATAATCATTTAATTTGAATTCATATTTTCAGCAAATGCGTATATAGTAAGCTGATAAATTAATTCAAGAACTTTTGTGTGCAATATATGTATATTTAACAAATTATTTACAATTACAAAGTGAAAAGTACCGCAAACAGTCGCATCATTTGCCTCGTATACCCCGATCTGTCCCTATATTCTGTGTATTCGCTTCAGTCCAAAACAGTTATACATCATATACAACTACAACTGCAACAGTTGTATATGCTTAACCACAGTTCTATAATATGTGCTCATCATTTGGTAAATAAAAACTGCATTCAACTAACTAATGACTGTCCGGCTGGCTTTGCCAGTTGCTATGATCCACATATATCAAACATGAAATACAAAGAGCGTGCCCGGATCGTATCGGAGTCAGAGCAAAAAAAAAAAAAAAAAGAAGCTAAACACGACAGAACCTGGAATTGAGACCAAATTGTCATAAAAATCAGTTAGTCAGTCAGTTAGTCAGTGGCAGCAGCAGCGGCTACCTGGCCATAAAATTTTAGATTTCAGTTTTCATTTTTCATTTTTTCAGTTTCAGTTTCAGTTTTCGTTTTCATTGGGCAGTGCGCTTCCGCGCCGTACCGTTTAGTCGACAGAGATTTGTTAACGCGCTCGGTTCGTCGGTTAATAGGACAGCTCGATATTTAATAAGTGAAGTGATGCCAAGTGTTCTACTGCCTCAATAAGAATTTGGTTAAATCACATCACAAGTGTTTGGCGACGTGCTAAGCATTATGCACTCCTTCTATGCATTATTCATATTTTGCAATATATTTGCAAGCATTCGAACTGAAGCCGGTGAATTTGGTAGGTAGTCAATATTAAATGGGTTATATCTAAAATAAAACAGTTGACTGTGGGAACATGAAATATATTCAACTTGAATAATAGAGAATATATTAAGCAAAATTTAAAATTACGTCAAACTGATTATTTGCATACGCGCATATAAACTAATTTTCTATTTTATTTATAAATTTTGAATTTTATTTTAATCTTCAACATTGGATTTTCAATATTATTTAATAAAATAAAATAATTTTGTAAAAAATACAATTTTTTAAATAAGGTATGTTTTTGTTATATATTTTACTATTATTATAATTTATACAAAATTTGTCAATATATTTATTTATTTTTTNNTTTTCCATTTTTTTTTTATTAAATTATTTTTTTTTATGCTTTATTTCCCATTTATTTATTTTTATTTGTATTCTCTAATAGAGATTGCATATGAATAAGACATTGCTAGATAGGATTTTTTGTGTGTTTTACAAAACTTTAATTTACAAATAAAGTTTAAAACATAAATTTTATTACATTTTTTTATTAAAATGTTTATTATAAATAAAAATATATAACAAAAAATTGATGAGTTCAATTATACTAGAATGAATATAATTCTATACAAGTTTTAACACAAAAAATAAAAATAGCAATAAAAAAATTTAACTGCTAAGTAAAAAAAAAATAAAATATAAAAAGCTATAAATTTTTACGTATTATAAGGTATATAAACTATTTGTTTGTTGTTTTGCTATACTTACATTTTTTATTTAAAGGTATAGAATGCGGTTATGTAAGCATTGTAGATATTTAAAAATTTAATATTTAATTTAATCCTCGTATTACATTTAAAGATTTTTTAAACTTATTCACTCGAAGTTTTTTAAAATTAAATTTACTGTTAGATTTAACAAAATTAGTTAAATAAATAATATTATTTCGACGATTTGTATTTACTATTAGAAACTGAATTAAATTTTTTAACAGTTTATGTTAAAATGAATTTGGAAATATATTCCTAGTCTAGTCAGATAATTCTTTCAAGTTACTAACTTACTAAAAATTATCATATTTTTTAATTAAACATTTATTTATTTTAATAATTATAGCATTATAGCATTACAATTTTTATTTTTATTGTTATTTTATCAGACAAAAAATGAATTCCAATTCAATTATAGATTTTATATAATTTACATTGAACAACATTCAATAATAATATTTACTGTAATATCAAATAAAATTTTACTGCTTGACAGAGAAACTAGTTATACCGGCGACCTATGCCAAGCGAGATCTGAGCAGCGATGGCAACAGCAGCGCCAGCAGCCACTCGGTGTCCGCCCGCTCCTACCTGGGCCAGTCGGCTGGCGCCTCGGAGTGCGCCTTTGGCACCGAGTGCACGCCCCTGCACGACTGCACGGCCATGATCTACGAGGTGGCCAAGAACTGTTATTACGGCGACAAGTCGTTGTATTGTGGCGGCGGCGAGGAGATGCCCTACGTGTGCTGTCCAAGCAGTCCGCTGGAGAAGAATCAGGTGTGCGGCAAGTCGCTGGTGCAGGGGCATTTCTACCGGGGACTCGGCTCGTATCCGTTTGTGGCGCGCGTGGGCTTTAAGCGTAAGTCAAATGAACGAAGTTCTATTAGAGAAGTTATATAAGGAACTCCTTCAACTGTAGATGTCAACACGGGCGCCTTTGCCTATCCCTGCGCTGGCTCGATCATTGCGCGACGCGTCATCCTAACGGCCGCCCATTGTGCACTGGCCAAAGCCGATGGCCATCGACTGTAAGTCATGCTCAGCTATATCTCACATGTATCCCATCTATCTCTCTGTAAATTTATGTTACTTTCCCTTGCTCAGCTCATCGGTGCGCGTTGGCGAGTACGACACCTCCAGTGATCCGGACTGCGCCAGCACTGGCTTCTGTGCACCGCGCTCAGTGAATCATGCCATTAGCCATGTGATTGTGCATCCCGACTACAAGCAAGGCCAATATCATCATGACATTGCGCTGCTGGTGCTCAAAACGCCGCTCAATTACTCGGGTAAGCGCTTGTGAAGGGGAACGAACGGTGTCAGAGGGTCAATGGAATGGGAACTGATAGAGAGAGAGAGAGAGAGAGAGAGGGGGGGACAGCCAGGGGTCGCTTTGCTGGGGGTTTCTGGTTACGCTTCGCAGTGTCAACGTTAATTAAAAATCGTTTTGCTCTGTGATATTTCTTCTATTTTCTGCTTTTGTTATTTTCGACTCGCCAAGTTCAATAATGTCAAGCCCATATGCGTCGCATCGTCTCCCATATTGCATGTTTGCTAATTCGAGGCTAGGGGCGGCAATTCGTATGGGAGAAGGGAGAAGGGGCTACGGCACGGTGGGAGGCTAACTTAATCGTCCAGCAACAAGCCACGCTCTGTGCTTAGTGTAGCAAATAATGAGCCAAGTTTCGATCTTAGATATAGTTCAATAGTTCTGGACTTTGAAATCTGAAACAAATTTCATATTTTAAACTTTACACTCGCTGTTTATGCCACTGAAATTAGTGAGCGAACATTTTGAGAGACTTTTGTATGATTATTAGCCATAAATATATATTAAATATGAAAACGCTAAATAGAACTTCGAAATACCTTAATGACAACATTGACTTGGGTGTAAACGAAAATGCTATTAGATTGGTAGATGTATATGGTATGAAAGTAAAATGCGCGATATAAGTAAAATAGATAAAGACTTAATATATTATTGTATGCATTTTTCGATATACGTTTTCCTTCTATATTTCACTAAGCCAAGAAATACAAAAAGGTGGACTTAAAATTATTTTTACTTCTGCTGATATAAACAACCTCATCAATCAAGTTTGAATTAAAATAAGTTTAGTTGAAATTTATGAAATTTTTATTCCAGTAAACCTATACAAACACCTTTTTCTGAAATACGAATATGCATTTTATATATTTTATTCATAGCTTGAAAAACACGATACATACAAAATAATAGTAATTAAATATAAAACATGATAAATAATACAAAATAATAAATACATATAATAATTAATAA